GCGTTACTACCCGGGCACGTCCGAGAGTTTCGCGCCACACTCGGGGTCATTTGTCTTTCGACTCTCCGATGAGTAAGACGAAGTCCCGGCCGCGAGATAAAACCGCCGTCGTTAATTTTTATAAGTACGCGATACGCGATAAAGCGACGCGATTAATTCCGCGTAAACGCGAAGACCGTTCAAGGTATTTGTTAAACGAGTCGGGTTCACCGAAATCTGGTAAATCTCGTTATTTCCGACAGCCGTAAAAGCATTAATTGCAGAGCGTCGGGTTAAATCATCCGGAAGCGAATTTTCTTTTATCGCGAGCGATTTCGTCGAGTCCGCTGAGCAATCGTGGTTCCGATTTCGTTTGCACCTTCGTCGCGAATTGCTTGAAACGCGCGTGGTCCGCGAAACGCGTCGCGTTCGCAATTCCGACAATCGAATGTATGCAGAGCGAGTGAGCGAGTGCGCGTATATCTTATAATCGTTTTTTAATTAAACATTATTTGATAAAATCAAAAGCGCGTTCACCCGATTAATAATCCTGCTGCGTTCCTGCATGCCTTGCGCATCACACACATCGCTTTCCGAGAGACAGGAAGTCGTGAGACCGAGCAGCGTGCCCGACGGGAAGGACGTCCGACGGCAGCTTCCTGAGCATTCAACCTTCCTTGTTCCTGAGGTCAAACAAGGTGGCGACCGAATAAAGTAAGAAATTTACATTCAAACATACACGGTAATCTATTTGTCGAAGTCGGTACTCGCCTATTAGAATTTTCATTAATTAAATAACGTTAAAATTGCAAGAATCACGAAAAGACGAGCCAGAAGGGCCTGCGTGAATTGAGGGCTTCGTGATTCGTTGTCCGATAGCCGAAAAGTCCGGTTACAACCTAACCTAACCATCGTACGTTGAGAAAGACTGACTTGCATGCAGCATGAGATTTGATAAGAAGATCCTAGAAAAGTGTTAAACGACACGGAATTATTCTTGCTGACGTAATATGCGTCATTTTGAAACGACTTTCGATGTGAAAACTGGAAATTTAAATGAGAAAAAATACGCGAGTGAATTCCTTGCAGTTGATTAGCTTCCGTGATGAGCATTGCGAATCCAAGTTGCTGGTTACTGTAATGCGAAAATAGTTTAACGTGAGGATGATTAGAGTCAGTGTAGAAGTGAAAACGTGTGCAAAGTGAAGGGAAAAAATTTAGAAAGAGCTTAGGCCTAGGACAACCCCTGCACAATTTTTTTTTTTGAAAACCTTAGAATATTCCGTGTGTCGTGCTGCACTTTCTGCATTAAGTTAAATGACAAATTTTGATTAGCTAACAGAGAAAGCATAACGAGATATCGCGAGGAGTGCGAAAATCTTTCTGAATCAATAAGATTTAAACAAAATTGAGATAATTAGAGTAAAGAGAAATGAAAAGCGAGTTTAATAAAGTAAATGGTAAATTGGAAACGAATAAGTATATGGAAGTAAGAGAAACAATTAA